GTTCAGCAACCACGATTACAACAGCTGCAAGTTCAGCAACCACGATTGCAACAACTGCGAGTCCAACAACTATGACTACAATAACTGCGAGTCCAACAACTGCGAGTTCAACAACCACGATTACAACAACTGCGGGTTCAACAACCACGATTGCAACAACTGCGGGTTCAACAACCACGATTGCAACAACTGCGAGTTCAGCAACCACGATTACAACAGCTGCAAGTTTAGCAACCACGATTGCAACAACTGCGAGTCCAACAACTATGACTACAATAACTGCGAGTCCAACAACTGCGAGTTCAACAACCACGACTACAACAACTGCGGGTTCAACAACCACGATTGCAACAACTGCGAGTTCAACAACCACGATTACAACAAATCAGTCTACGATTACAACAACTGGTTTGTCAATTTTTTTTTCTAATTATATATTTTTTTATTTTTATTAGTTCAATCAAATTTTAATCCGATTAATAATTGTACTTCAGGATCATTTGGTATAAATTGTATGTTTACTGATAGTATTTGTAATACAACTCAATTATGTTTCAATAATGGTAGTTGTATCGAAAATAAAACACTGGAAAATGGATATAGTTGTGATTGTTTGGAAGGTTTTGAAGGCATTGATTGTCAAGATGATGAAAGACTATGTAAACCATTTACATGTTTTGACCGAGGTTAAAATTTTTTTTGAAGAAATTCTTCATAATATTGATTATTATTTAGGTAATTGTACTAATATATCGAGTATAGATTTTAAATGTACATGTGATGATGGATATAAAGGTAAAAATTGCGAAATAACAGTAGATTTATGTAATAATGTAACATGTCAAAATGGTGGTGTTTGTTTTCAAACATATTTAAATTATACATGCCAATGTCTCTCCGGCTATAAAGGACTTCATTGTGAAATAGCTGAAACAAGTGGTATTATACGTACTTATGTTGCAAAAAGTATCCTTAAATTTTTAATTTGAGATTTTTTAGTAAAGTCTTTTTTTTATATTTAAGGTTTTGGTTATATAGCTATTTTAATGCTTTCTGGATTGATCGGATTTCTTGTTATTATGGATGCATTAAAGTATATATTTGGTATTGATCCAGCTCAATCTCAACGTAATTATATGCGAAAAAAATATCTGGAAAAGTTTAGGAAGAAAAAAAAGATTATACAGCCAAAAGTGATACGACGATTTCATTATATAAATTAAAAAAAAACTAACTCACATGTAATTACAAATATATAATCACATTTATTTATTCATGTCTTGTCCTATGCTTAATTTCAGTATTGTTTATCATTTATTCTCATTATCACAATAAATTTTAAGGGAAATATTAAATCAAAACATTATTAATTAAGTCATTAAAAATTGTTTTTTATCAGAATGCTAGTTTATTATACGAATTTGAAAACAAAATTACATGAAGTTACTTATTCTAAGCGATTAATAAGTTCGTTCGTTCATATACATTATTCGAAAACTTAATCGTGTATTGATTTACTAAAGAAATGAAAAATATAAATAAAAGAAATAGAATATATATCTAACATACGATTCAGTTTCAGGATTTTTATTGATTTCATTGCTTGGTACTGTATTTGTAACAAGACTACCTGAAATCATAAAATATTTCTTTGTACGATTTTCGAACAAAACAAATTCAACGATCTTACTTCCTTGCATTGTTGAAGATTGTTGATTTTCTTGAGCACCACCATAACTCTTTATCATATCCATATCATTTCCAGGACCAATTTGAGTAGGTGGTTCAACAGAATCTTGAAAAGGAGAATTTATAATAATGAATGTAAAATAAGTAGTAGAACAATGATAATGATACTTACTGGAAGACATATTTTATTATAATTGACCTGAAAAAAAGAAAATAGGTGATATTTTTCGATCTCATCTATGTGTTTTTAATTTTCTTTAGATCATCTCTTATGAGATACATGACTCATGTAAATTAATCTATTCTACTATTTTAAATAAATTGGAAAAAAAACAATTTATATTATTTTTGATTGACTTTCTCTATGCATCATTTTGAAGGATTCTCATTTATCCAAATGAGATACCTTTCTTTTTTACTTGTTGATGTTATGTACTCGTTTTAGTCGTGTAAAACAGCAAATCAATATCGTATTTTTTAATAATAGATGTCATTATAATCTGTATATATCAACCTGTATTCATATCTGTGTGATAAATCGTTTTTTTTTG